ATGAGCCCCGTGTTTTTCTCAACATCCAAACAAAGGATCAGAGTAGTCAACGATCAGTAATGGGAAAAGGTAATGCATTCTACCGATCGAAGTTGAAACTTAAACTCACTACAGATGACAATTTATCTTTAACTTATGTGAGAAACGAAATGAAAAGAACTGTTTGGTAGTCAAGAATGTACAAGAAAATTAGAGAAATATGTAGACAATTAAGAAAAAAGAGAACACCTTAGTCTTCGAAGAAATCAATAGAGGAAGAATATATAATGTGGAGAGAAATGAAGAAAAAACGTCATGAGGACATGAGAAATAGATGGTAAAATAAAAAGAACACATCAGAGATCGCATGGGTCACCTTAACGAGTAGCCGAGAAAGTATAGGGAAATTAGAGAAACAGGTAGAAAATTAAGAAAAAGAGAACAACTCAGTCTTGAAAGAAATCAACAGAAGAATCTGTAATGCGGAAAGAAATGAAGAAAAAACGTCACAAGGACATGAGAAATGGACGGTCAAAAAAAGGACACGAGAGATCACATTGGTCACCTTAACAAAACTATGTTTGTATCCTTAAACAGGAATGTCACTTCCTAGTTTGTTCTCTAAATTCCTTTTTTCCTTTTTTAAGCTAAAATTTTACTGTAAACTAGGCACCACATACGTGTGGGACTTTTTAAAAAATAATTATAACTCAACCTTGCAAGGAGGGGATGAGAGGGAGGGTTCAAACTCCTGCTACGATGGTGTAATAGCTTTTTTACAAAGAGATTTTGTTAATTAAGCTATCAAAGCTCTACACCGGATACTTCTTATTTTGCCAATTTGTGATTTTTTTTTTGGTTGAATTTTGATAAAACGAAGGAAAATGATGGAGAAAATTCATAACAATTAATCAAGATTGAATCAAAACAGTAAATTTGGTTATCACCAACAGATTACTTTATTTAGGAAGATCGAAATGGTATCACATGGTGTGTTTATGATCATTCACAAATTTTATGTAAACGAACTAGTTTTTTTCACTTATGTGTTGTACAGGTTATTTTTTTTTATTAGAATTTAAAATATTATTTACTATTTTTATCAACGGCTTAAATTTTGTAATGACTTTTTAACTTCTAATTAAGTGATTGTGTTTGTTGAGTACATAGGAGATTCCATTTGGTAATTGGCAACAATATTTTTAAAAAAAGTTGTATATAGTCATGTTAAAAAGAAGGAATATTAAACAAATTCAGAAAAGACTCAATATTAATCTTTATTTCATAATTCAAATATATTTGATCATTTTTTTCTACTATTATCTCATTTAAAGATTTACATAATATTTTCTCTTCTTTCAATTAAAAAACTACGGTTAAATAAAATTTAATATCTGTGCATTACATGTGCAACACAATTAAATAAGATTAGTACATGTGTATTGTACATGCATTGCATGAGATCATTTTAATGTTGCTTTCTCAATATTAAATCAGAAAAATTAATATAACTTCTTAAAATACAGCTCAAACTAAGCAATCTAAATACCTATATCTTGCAATAAAATTTTGGATTAAAAAAAATCTTTTAAATAAAACATTTAAAATTAATTTGTTGTCAAGAATTGAAAAAACCTTAAATTCATTTACAATGAATATTGATGATTACAAAAGAAATCATAA